GAACGATTGAAGGAAATGACAGAACCATCAGATACAAGGCCTTATCGTTTTTTCTCTGAAGCTAGACATAAACTTAATGCTATCAATGACTTTATACTGATAGCAAGCATTTTTACCATAAGAACGTTACAAGAAAAACGGTTATTACCTCCACAAACAAACGGTACTCGGTATCCAAAACGGTGGCTTAATTTCAGCCTAAAAGCATGCTGATTACGACATCACTGTTGATAGTTCATTTTTGATAACTTACAGCTAATGAAGGAACAGAGTAAGAGAAGCCTGCTTATAATCAACAATCATGCTCCACATTGTAGTGAACTGAATCATGTAGCAGTGTGCAGTGAACCAATGAGAAGACTCTAAAAAATCTCGACTTCGTGGATAATTTATGCCTAATGTCGCACAAACTCAAAGATCTATGGACGAAGATCAACAGGTTGGCAGAAGAGGCAGCAAAAACAGGAATTCGGATGAACATAGAGAAAATTGAGGTGATGAAGACATCTGACCAACGACAACGAGCACCGGTCACCATCAGTGGGAGAAATTTAAAGGAAATCACCTATTTCACTTATCTAGGCAGCATCGTCTCAACTATATGAAGACAGTAAAGATCAAGGTGTAAGAACCAGTCAGGATGGAGTCGGAAATGCAAGACAGGCGTTTATTACTGTGAATTCAGTGTAGAGATATACAACACTCAGCATTTGGGAAAAGTTCTGAATTTTCACCCTTACTGTCAAGTCACCGCCTTAAGACGGTGCGACACAAAAGGCATTTCCAAAAGGCTACTACAGACCTCCATCAACAAATGCCTTCGCTGGCTCCTTACTGAAGATCAGATGGGTGGCTGGAAAGGATAAGCAACGAGAAACTCAGGCAATGAATCAACTAGAAAGCTATCTCAGAAGGAAATCCAGATGGATTGGACGTACACCAAGGGGACTGTTGAGTGATATAATGCCTCAGGCCCTCGAGCAAAACTCGAACTGAAAACAACTGGGCAGGCGTAGGTTTTAGGGTGATATGAAGGGGATAGTGGGAGGAGGAGATGAAAGCTTAAGGAAAATAGAAAAGTCAGCCAAAACAGACTTCAGAGAACAGAGTGAAATGGCTATGTTCCGTTTGCACTCCAGAGGACAAATAGTATTAATACAATTATAACAAGTCAGGAACAACAAAATGCACTAAATTTACTTTATTTTTTATGCTCGATTACTCTTGCATTCTTAAAATTCTTAGAAGGAACTAATTTTATGAAAGAAGAGGGATTTTAGTTCTCCTAGCCTTTAATTTGAAATTCGTTAAAAAGTAACACTTAGTAAAGAAGAACAAAAAATAAGGAGAACTGGGTAATTGTTTCTCTGTGGTTTGCAAATTTATCGATGGAAACCCCAAACCCAACGAAGAATTGCGCAGAAAACAGTTAGACACATGACTACTCAGCCATCTGATCGGAGTCCAATGGTTCATAACTTTCACCTCTTATTGGTTTGTGAGACCATAGTCCAGTACATATCGGCCCACTGACCAAGCAGTGCAGGTCCAATAGTGTAGCCTCATGGTTTCGGAATCTCTCCTTCGTTGATCCATGAGTGAATCAACAAAACTTTTCAGTGCTTCTTGGTTATCAGTGTTTGTGTAAACTGAACAAGTTCATGTCAAAGTCCACTGTGGAACTGATCAGTTCCTTTCAGTTCATCGAAGAAGACAGCCATGTAAAAGTAGTACCCAATGGTTAAAAAAATACTCAGTTTGCAATACTACTACTACTACTACTACTTTTTATTCCTTTACGTTCCAACTGGTACAGTGGGTGGGTTTCCTGTCCTCATACTAAACATTCCCTCTTTACCGACCTTACCACCTGCTTGACGATGTTTAGGAGTGTATCAGCTAAGGATCGAAACCCGGACCACCTGCGTGGTTGGAGAGGGCTCTACGTTGAACCGCCAACGCTCTACTACTACTAATAATAATATCATTTTTTTATTTATCAGCTTTCTTCACTTTGATTGTTTATTCTCTATACCTAATTCGTTTTCATAATTGAAATGTTTTATCTGTTGCAATCAACATGTAATCACGTACATGGATTAGAGCATCTAGCGAATAAAACAAAAGTTCCGGTTAAATCAACTGTTGTGAGCATTATTAAAATATGACAATTTATAAAGAGTGTAGGTGTGTGCGTGTGTTCGATGAGTTGGTAAATACATAAATTTATATTTATTTGTTCAAGTGATTAGAAAATAAACTCAAACTGTTTGTTGATGTTTTTTCTTCTGTTGATGCAAAGTCACAGGAATTTAAAAGTCACTAACTAGACCAATAAATATGCATTTAAACAAAATTAATTCCAAATAATCAATGATTTGTAAGGTTAATCTCACCACTTGTATCGGTAGCACGTTGCAAACTTTGGATATATTTGGTGAAATCTTTCAAAAGTGGATAGATTCTTGGATTACAGATTATGCTTTCATTTTCTGCTGGACTGTAGGCTGTTTCTGTACTGAAAAATTTTTCTACTGATGAATACCAAAACATTATAAAACTGTGCTAAACAGAATCTTCATACTGAACACATCCAGTGGTTCAAATAAATGTGTCTATCAGACTGTCTGTGTGTTATAACAAAACTTTGAATACTTAATCATGTACTCCACTGCATAATATTTGCTTTGTTGTATTCCCTGAAGTTGATGGTCTAATTGCAAAGTTTCCAGTTTCCTTCAATTCTAACTGTAGAATGTACAAAATATGTTAAAAGTCTTAACAAGGCCTCATACATCCTTAAATTAGTCCGCAAACTACCTAAAAACATTGATATAAGGAACACGTATTCTTTTTTTAAGAACTGACAGAAGCTAGAATTCAGGGTTCATTGAATTCAGGCCCAGGTGGCTGGTTAGTCTGATATCGTAACCTTAAGGGCCTGGGTTCGATCCTTAGTGGAGTACTGGGTGCGTACTGTGAAGAATTTTAAGCAGTTACGAAACGGTTGCCCTGTACTCTCTGGTTTACGGTGGTTCTGTAATTGATATCAGTCAATGCTCAAACATGAAAGAGTTTTCTAGTGATTTTAATTCATCATTTCACTGTTATGAGTTCTTGTGTGTCCAAGTGTTGCACAGTATGTCATGACTACACTTTTAGTAATCCAGGTTTGATATTTAAAAACGCCACACTAATTGTATATTCCCCAAGATTTCCTGATATTTTTAATTAAAATGAGGTAATTCGTAGAATCATTCATCGGTATTTTAATAGTAGAACGCTCGCCAATGACTCAAGTGATCTAGATCCAATTCCCGATTAACTGACGTACTCCTTAACCTCCCTCAGCTAACTAGCCCATAGAAAGCTGAAAAAAAATGAAAGGTCGAGGGTGGGTCCAGTGACCCCACCTACTAAATTACCTTATTCATTGCTTAAATTTAACAAATTGATAGTAAAATCATGTAGTTTTAAAAGATAAACAGACATTGACTATCATATTGTGAAAAGATTAGTTCTGGAGCAAAAGAGATTCTAAAATGTGGTGAAATAGTTTTGACTAAATTTGACAATAAAGTAGAATTGTAAATATTATTCTTGATGAAAAACTCCATTTTTAAAAGAAAAAAACCACCAATACCAAAAGGATAACATATGGTGGATGACTTATCACATCATAGGTATTCAGTGTGACTCTTTAGTTTTATGTGCAAATTAAACAGTATCTGTCAATGTCCTAGAGAAAATGAGTTTTTTTTCAAGTATTGGTTTTGTAGGGATTTTGTTTGATTGCATGGAGGATTTCATCATGAGCTGACATCAGTTAGAGAACCACTGGAAAACCTGAGAGTACTTGACAGCTGTTTCATCCTAGTTCGGGACTGGTCCTATTCAGGCAGTTAACCTGGGGTTCTAGTGGAAAGCCGTGACCAGTAGGACGCAGCAGGTTGAAGATGAGGCAGTAACTCATCGAAGAAGACATTCCGAAATGGTCGCGCTATGTCGTGAATTGGCAGAAGTTAGAATTCATAGGCTGGCCATTGGATCGGGTCTAGCGCTAGCTCACCTCGTAATCAGAAGGTGCTGGGTTCGAACCCATGCGGTGGGTGCGTACTGATGAAGATTCCTAAACTGGAGCGAAACAGCTGGGTGTCCAGTACTCCCAGCTAGTTTTCCAACGGTTCTCTAACTGATGTCAGCTCATGAAGAAATCCTCCATGCAAAATGAGTTTTCTCAGGTCTGTATATATACCTTGTCATTAGATGCACAACTGAAAGTATGCAGGACATTCCATCAACTGACTTATATTGTTTAATTTGAAGTATTATTTTTGAACACCGATATCAGGTGAATTAATCTGTGGCAAACTGATGATTCGAGAATATATATATATATAATATGCAAAAGGAGAAGGATAGATTTCGGAAGCTGTCTTGATAGTCAACCCTAATGATAATATTGTAAAATTATTCATCAAGTATTTGTGAGCATATGAATATTAAGGTCATGTCAGTTACCATTGATTAGCTAGTTCTGGATCTATTAACTTACAGTTTATTAGCTTTTCCAAGTTCACGATGTAACATTCCACACATTGAAAATGTTACAGATTGTCAGTTTCTGGCAAGAACTCCGCTCAGCACCCCGCTTCGCAGCTACTCTATAAAGTAAACACTCCTAACGAATTCGGTAGTGGGGCAATACACACTGTTCGAGTGACATCTGGTTCATCTGATGTCTACGCTTGTTTGTGTAAGTGTGTGTGCGACATAAAAAAGAACTTCAAGATATATTTTTCATAAAATTATTGGTAGATGGGTTTTTATGATAACAGTGAATAGTGTATTTCAGTCCCTTACTGAAATGAGAAAATGTGAGAGTGAAATCTTTGGGAGTATTAGAGAAATGAATTTTTCTTTTTATTGTAATTAATCTTTTCAATATATTTGATTTTCAGTAATTTAAAAAAAAAATGTATCTCTTGAATACTTTTCAGATGCACACTATTTGACTGAGAACAAATCACCAAGCAGCAGCAGCAGTAACACTGGCAGTATCATGCTGAACAGACAGGTCAATGATATTGAACACTTGATTCATTCATTAAAAGATTATCAAATCCCACATTCAACTGAAAGCAACAATAATAGAAATAATAATGATACTCTTCAATACAATGAAACAGATAATCGTACATTTTGTACAAGTTCACTGTCATCCAATATAAACAACACACAAGACAGTAATTCACTTAAACGTTTAATAGACACCAATACTAATATTTATAATAGTAATAATGACAACAATACAGATGAATACAGAAATATAAAAGAAACTATCAAATCATTTTGTTATGATGATATTCATGCACAGAAAGGTTGTACAGAACATCAATTAAATGAGGCCAGTCCAAGTAATAACGATTTCTACGATGGGTCACTAGAATCCCCATTATCAAATGATGATATGATAGCTGATTCCAGTGTGTCTAGTATGATGGGTAGGCGAAATAGGACAACATTTTCAGAGAAACAAGTAAGTACTTAAATAACTATCTGTTCTAGACAGTTTAGATCTTTTTATCGTCTTTGATACTATATATATATATTGCTATTGGAAGTATTGCTTTTTCACGGGATAAGGTTGCTAGTCTCACGCCCAACCTTCCCTCTTTTATGGACTTCGTTCCAGCTAAGAAACAAGGCAAGGTTTAGTGGTGTATCAACCAGGAACCGGTCCCTGACCTTACCGTGACTGACGAGCAGTTTACCATCTAACCGCTGATACAATATATATATATATATATATATATATATATCTGACCAAAAATACTTATTCAAGCAGTAGATATCTAAACAGAAAAATAAGGCTGCCTAATATGGATTTTGAGATCTATCACTTGTGATATGATAACTCTTCTCAGCACTGCATAGAAATAAAATAAGCAAAACGAAGGGCATACACTGACAATAGAAAAGTAAAGATAAGGTTTTAATGTATTCATCTGAATAGATATGAACAGTATTCTTGTTAACCGAGCAACAAGTGATCTGAATCAGCGGCTGAATGTGCTCTAAAAGCAGACTCATTAACTTCAGAGACTTTGTCAGTTTAAAGACAGCTTTCCAGAATGAATTAATACCTTTTTTGAATATATAAATTAACATCAAAAAGTGGTAAAATACTCATTGATTTTGGTAGACGAAGACTTTCTCATAGTATTTATCCCAGTAAAATTATTAGGCTTTAATTTTCGAAAAGGATGTGGTCAAAAGATTGTTGTACAAAAGTCGGGGTTCTAGTTTGTGTTGAATTGGTTATTTTCTTACTTGGACCATATGAAGCCAAGGTAATTCACTAGGTGGTAGAGTTAAGCGAAAGAAGACTTATTCTTGATACACTTCTTCCCCTCGATAAACTTGAACAAGGCAAGAACAACAAACTGAGCAGGTTAACATAAAGTCATTTTATTTCACTGGATCTTATCAACTCCAGATAACCTAAAACAATTCTGCACACCTAATTAGTGCCCAACTTCCGTTCTCGATTCTAGAACACTCCTGTAACTTTTTTATATATTAGCACACACTTGACACATGTAGTTATTTTCTCCCAACTTGCTGTGTATTTAATTATGTAGTATAAATGATGGCCATCTTAGAGTTATTTAATAAAAGCATATGAAAATTTTATAAACTGATGTAGTAAGTGTTTCAGGTTGTATGTAGTTGACAAAATTCAACTAAATAAAGTGATATCATGTCATCCTGCTCAGTATTTGTCCGAAAATATACTTTTTGGTTGAATCATCCACCCACTTAATGGTAATCCATCATAAATTAATGTATTTAATGTTGCACAATTAGAAGAATTCTGATAAAAGTTCTTGAATTTAATGCCAGATATAACCGTGTAAGCATAAATGCATGACTCCATACACTAATGACTGCCTGATATCAGTAGCTGGGTGGTACCGCTCACATCAGCCAGTAGTGCTTGCTTGCCTAATCGACGTGACCTAAATTCAGAACAACTGTTTCGCTCATTTAGGATCGAAATCATCAGTGGTGTATCCGTTTTGATAGTCGAATCAAGTAAAACCATCCAATATGGTGTCTAGCTACTGAAATCAATCAACTAGCAGTATGTAGTGTCACGCATTTATGCTTGCTTTCTTGACTACTATTTATGGCAACAAACAGACCACACACAGTGGGATATTTTCAAAGGAAAGTGTGTAGACTACAAATTGCGAATTGCAAATCTGATAATCCTATAGGATCGGAGATAATGAATGTTCTCAACTGCGAAAATAGATAATTCATATTTGAGTTACACAGACATTATATTTTTCTTCTGTGCTAAATAAAGCAAGTGGAAGTTTGGTATAGGTTCAGAATGATTGGTTACATGTTTACAATGATTCAGTACTCTACCTTAATTGCGCATTTATTGCTTCCATGTCCACTTTAAACACGACAGAAACGCAAAAATCAAGAAATCCTTCTGATAGTAGTGAAAGCTTATTGAATAGTTACTGTATAAGTCTTATAGTTTACCTATTGTCATCAGACCAACCAGTTGAATGTTAGTGACTCTACATTAAAATAAATGGATACATACGATCTCACGGGCTGTTATTAAAGCAATTCAAATACTCTTGAAGCAGCTGTTCAGTACCCTACTATTTATGATCACTTGCATCTGAATAAGCACAAATGAACTGATTTCACGTCTTAGTTGTACCAGTGAAAATTACAAAGATGTCATCTCTCTTCTGAGTTAACTCAGATTAAAAAAAACTTAAAAAATATTATTCTGAATGTAATTAATAACACATCATAAATTAGCGGAAATTGAAGGCCACAAACTATTATGTAATAGCTAGTTAGTATCGTCACTACCACGACGTCCTGAAGACTCACAAACTGGAAGGAAACACTTAGTCCTCAACGCCTCTCTTCTAACTTCTGAAGGGATTTAGTGAATGAAGTTTTCGAGTAAACCTCTCTCTAAATGAAGAAGACCACTTTATACCTAATCGAATCTGTACAAAGCCCTAGAACTCATTATGTATTTCTTTTATTTGTAGGTGGAATTTCTTGAATTAGCCTTCCAACATACACATTATCCTGACTTACAACTTCGCGAAACACTTGCCTATCAAACTAAGCTACCTGAGTGTAAAATTCAAGTAAGTTTATGGTTTAATTTATTTTGCAAATAACATAACTATTTACTTATTTTTCTTGTCTTCTCATCGCTTTGCGTTTTGAGTAGAACATATGGCTTCAGATATCGGGGTGACAGTGTTGCTAATCTCACCCCAGACTTCCCTCTTATTTTTGGGCTTACTGTCTGCTAGTACATCAGATGAGGTTTAGGAGTGAGTTAGTCAAGAATCTGGTCTGGACCTCTCACATATTTGGTGACTATTCTACCAAAAACCACTGATGCACAAGGTCTGCAACATTCAGTATTCCCAGCCGATCATCCATGTAGGTACTAACCAGGTCCCAGGCTGCTTAGCTTCAGTGCTCGGACGAGAACCGGTGTTTTAAACGTGGTGTGATCGTCTGTATTGTTTATTTTACTTGTATGTAATTGACGTACGAACGCATATCTAAAGTGTTGGTCACAGTCTGAATGACTGATGAGTAAATACTCCCAAAGGTAGAAAATAGCTCCAGAAGGATAACGATCCTCCTCACTATAAGAAATATGTCTTATTTTTAAATGCGGACAAAATTTAGACCAGACTCTCTGATTAGTGGCTCAAATTGCTAGCAGTTTTTTGATTGGAACTAGTAACTAATGTGATGTGTCTAGTTCATTCATTGATGCAGACTGAATTCTGTCAGCCAGTTTCCAATACAGTACTACATGAAGTCAGTCACTAGTCCGAAAAGCTGAGTGGTAACGTTTCTGGCTGCAGCACTGGGTGAAGTGGGTTCGAATCCCAGAAGGGACATGAGTTCTTTCAAGGTTGTAGATACGCCTTGCTGATTGGTGAGTGACAACTAGTAAGAAACCTTGGTCCAGGGTTTCCTGCCGACTGCCTCCAATCATCTAATATACTAGCAGCATTTTATCCGATATGCATTTGCTACCTTAAATGGATGGTTTAATTATTAATCTCTATTATTTCCACGCATAAGATCATTTTTATGAAAATACTTCATTGGAAAGCCAGCACACGACGAGCTATTTTTTAAAATCGCTTTAACTACTTATAAGTAGGCAAAGTAAATTTAACAAAATAAGAAATGTATCTGATTGTTTGAAAAGCTTGACATGTGAAAGTTAGTTTGTAGAATTCACACCACAATTATCACACTAGTCCGTATAAACTGATCGGATAAACCACAAAATATAACATTGAAGTGACATTACTCTTCCAATATCCATAGTAACCCTTTTGGCTTCCGACTGGAAAATAGGGCTTCAACAATACACCTCCACATTGTTCTATTTGGTACTGTCCCACTCACCTGAGTCCGCAATTGCCTATAATCTCTCTTCTCCTCCTCACCACATGGTCTCATCCATTTCATCCTCGGACGAGGCATTAGTCACATCCCATTCAATTTCCATTCAACGACCTGGCAGGAGATATCATTCGACAGTTTCCTCAACGTATGTTTGATCCCTCTCCATTTTCTCTTGCAAATTTGTTGAGCGATCGGGTTTTGCCTGTTTGTTTGTTCCCACAGTTTCTTGTTACTGATTCTTTCCGACTGGTCGGCTATTAGATCTTCAGTATAGAGCTAGAGAAGGTAGCAGCTGTTGACAAAAGTCTGCAACAGGCTATTGGAAATCCCTTTCATGACACGCAGTGTAAGTTTCTGATCCGTATGGAAGCAGTGACCGACTTGACAATGGTGTTGTAAATCCTAATCTTTTTCCTTATGCTGGCTGAGTGCACAAGATTTCCAAACTGCTTTCAGGTTGATGAAGGCGTATCTTACCTTTCCGATTCTGGCTTTGACATCTGCATCCGTTCCAACTCTAGTTGAAATGATGCTAGCTTCCAAGTGAAGGAAGTGACTTCTATTAAATCCCTCCCGTTGGTGGTGATTGGTGCTGGTTGTTGTTGCTTCTGTTGGCTGGTTGGTTGTCTTTATCGCATCTGTCTCCACCTTCTCTATGTCCACCTGCAGTCCTGTCTTATTTACCTGTTTCTTTGGCCAGTTTGTCGGCTTTCGCCCGCAGTTCTACGAGTTTGTGTTACATTAGACATACCGTCTGCGAAATCTAGATCTTCAGAGTTTTCTCGTCAGTGGTCCAGCGCACTCCTGTCTCCTCACTCCCAAATCATAGTCTGATGCATAATTCAGTCCACTACAATTAAGAATATCATGGGTGACAACAGACGGCCCTGTCTTACTCCTGTGGTCACTTCGAACACCCCACTAAGATTTACTCTAAGGATCACCTGACACGTGACACTGTATATAGCTGTTGAATGAGGTTTTGAAGTATTTCCCAAATTACTTCTCGGTCAATGCTGTCTGTTGGAGGCCTTTCCGAAGTCGATGAAGTTGAGATAGATGTTTGACTGCCATTCCATGATTTGTACGATGAGGATGCGTAGAGTTGCAATTTTATCAGCACATAATTTGCCTCTCCTGAATCCAGCTTGTTTCGGGCTGGCGGAGTCCGGTGTCCAGTGCATACTTTATTCTCTCCAGGATGATGCAACTTACTATTTTACTTGGCGTGGACAAGAGCATGATTCCGCGCCAGTTCTTGCAAAAGCCTAGGTCGCCCTTCTTTGGCAAGCTAACGAGGTAGCCAGCCTTTCTTCCTTCAAAACCCTTTGCAATAATGGGTAATGCAATAATGAGCACATCTGCCGCAGTATCTGGGTCCGTTTTCAGTGCTTCGGGGGGGGGTGGGATTCCCTCTGGTCCTGCTGCCTGCCGGCAGGTGTTCAGTGACTTAATCGCATCTAGGATTTCTGCTTTCTTTGGAATATTGGCGTCCACTGGCAGGCAGTTCTGTGCGTGCTGTCAGTGGAGGTGTATTTCTGGGCGAATTACAAGCGGTGGTCAATTCAAGAGTCCTTTAAAGTGATCAGCCTATTCATTGTTTTACTTGTTTCTCCTCCTTCTTAATCACGTTCCTTCGAACATCTTTTATTGGTTTCATCATCTAGGTTGATCTCTTCTTAGATAGGGACCTGGTTATCTGATATAATGTCCTGAGGTTCCTTTTACCTGAATACTGTCTCTTCTGCTTCAGTTGTCAACTACTATGTCGTAGAAAATGTCTTTTATCTTCCCTAGTACTCTTCTTCACTCCTCCCTTTATTCGGTGCAGTGTACAATGAACTCAGTTCCTCCTTCTGTTGCCCATCTTTGCATTGGTCCGTTTTCTCTTTCACCATCCTTCTCTCTTCTCCTCGATTAGCTTCCAGGTAGAAGTCCGTAGAGAGCTATTCTTTGTCTTGTTTGTTCTTTCTTCCCAAATACGGCTGTACATGTTTCCTTGAACATCACCTTCACAGAGTTCCAATATTCCTCCACACAGGTTACCTCGGTGATAACACTTGGCGTCTCCAACTATGCTCTGATCTGATCTGTAGTGTATCCTTTGTTTTTTCTTCAGTTCCTGAATGTTGAAACTGAACTGTGTATGGCATGTCTCCAGTTTTTCTAAGGGATTTCAGCCTCACCTTGATGTTCCTCGATTTTGTATCGAGCAAACTGCGTCTCCACTTGCTTGAACAGGGTTGAGATGAAGTCTATCTGGTTTGTGGTGTGTCCATCAGGCGAAATCCATTTTGCTATGTGTATATCCTTGTGTTTGTACACACTCCATCCGATCACCAAATCAATAAAAGCCCAGAATTCTGCGAATAATTCTCCGTTCTCATTCATTTCTGAAAGACAGAACCTCTCGTCCCATGATGAGTTCTCTTCCTGTATAATCTGCCCCCAGTTTGGCCTCCATTCATATTGCCCATGAGGAACTTTTTTGTCACCGATAGGAATGTTGTCGATTGCCGTTTGTAGTTGTCTACAAAAATCTTCCTTCTTCTCTTGTTCCTAGTTGTTTGTAGCACTGTGTGTAGCATTGCATGATAATTGTAACCTTCCTTTCTTTCTTCCTTTTGAGTTGAATCTTGCTGTCATGATCCTAGATGAGGAGATTGGTTCCCACTTTATTAGGGCTCTGGCTGCCACTGGTCACATCATTATAGTCACACCATCCCTCAATGTGCTCGTAATTGTCGTCTGAGTGACCAGACCGGAGTAGATTACTGACTCTCCAGTTGACAAATCTGATAGTCCACATCCATTCCATCTGCCCTCGTAGATACCCAGCACTTCTAGACCATATCTTCTCATTTCTTTGACTACCTGGCCAGCCTTCCCCGCCTAACCTCGTACACTGTACGGACATTCCACGTCCCCATTCTTATTTTGCTTTCATCCAGAAAAGATTCGTCGGCTGACTGGCTTCCCGAAGGTGGGCTTTCACCAGTCCGCGTCATTTCGCCTCTCCGATTCTAGCGAAGAATAAGATGGTTCTTTGAATTTTTTGTATTTTTAATATATTTTGTGTGTGTTGAAGTTTCTCTAGGTTTAGTGGTGTAGGGTTGCTAGCCCCACGCCCAACCCTCCCTCTTTACGTGGGCTTGGGACCGGCTAGAAAATTGGCAAGCTAGTAAACTAGGCGAGGTTCTCATTCTCAATAGAAATTAGTACATCTGTTGAAGATTATTTCGAGTCCCTGAATATCACCACCTAGGCTTTAAATAAATCAGGTGAGAACAAAAAGACAGATTCCTTTAAGGTAATGATGTGTCAGTCATTTATTTCGCAGGAATTACAAAAAAGATGAAGCGGTTCAATGCACTCATAAGTGAACGTTAGACAGACTTCTTTTTCAAATCATGCGGTTCAAATTTCTAACAGCTTCACATTATTATAAAAATAAAGTGAAATGATAGCACTTTCTCCATTTCTTGCATACAGAGCGCAAAACAGGACTCCGAACGTTGAGGTTTCACATGTTTGGCATTGTTTTAACGAGATGAGGCTGATGGCGTCATGCCCAGCATTACCATTTATCAGGCTTACCAACGACTAGTAACCTAGCTGGAGTTACGGATTGTGTCGGCGGCGGAGAATTGAGTCCAAACCATCTGTGTGATCAGCAGTCATTCTGCTTTAAATCATCACCTCATAAAGTTACAGTTATGGTGACACTGAATCACTACCATAGATTTCAAAACTAATTAACCAGGCTATTGATTCATCCAGCAGTTATAAGCTGCTTAATTAACAGGCCAAAAGATTTGATTTCATCGTTCCAAAGACCACATATAAGTAGTTTGCAAAAGTGAATCATATTAGTATCATAGTTCAAAAACTATTCACTTTGCTTTAGTTTCTGTAACAAAGTTGACATTACCCGGTTTTATAGTTTCTAAATAGTTTTACACATTTATCAGATTAGTTTTTAAACTAATTACAAAATGCCGCAAGAATACAAGTCATTTGAATCTATGACGTAAGATTAATCGTATTCACTGTTATTGGCGTTTTTTAGCTATTGATTTTCCGGAGGTAATTAGTAAATTCTTTGGTATGCACAAATCACAGTTGAAAAAGGATGCGGAGAATCAAACAGCTCCATATATCTCAGTCCTAAGCAATACGCCATTTTCACTCTCTTCATGACTAAATCCAATTGCTTCAGGTCTCCTCCTCCTTGTGCATATTTTCGAGTACAGATGAGAATCGAAAACTGGGTACAGTATATACGGAATATTCCATTTCAGCACAGTAATGAAAAAACGTTCACCACAAGGTTTGAAAGTTTGTTTATAGTCAGTGGAAAGGAATGAGAATAACCATTACTGTGGAGAATAAAACTTCTATGAAACTGTTTATTAACTTGCAATAAATCTACTTAATGTTACACATATCGTGTTTCCCATTGAAAATGTTTACCAAGCAGTTTAAAATAAGCGTGTAGATATTTATCTTAAAATATAGGAGAAGCATCAACAAAATATCCTCTGATCACAAGAAAATTTGGTAAACAGATAAAATTACTGTCAATATTCTGTTTCCAACAGACTTTGTTTCTAAACTGATGAAAAAGATAGGCTGTTGGATATAAACTACATGCTACTTCTTTGAGTAGCATTAGCTAAATGACAACTATAACTACATTCAAGTTAAGAAAGCTTTGCTGAGAAATGTGTAGCTTCCTTACTGATAATCACCACAATATACTTCAAACTGCTTACGAGTGACGCGTTTCACTACTGTTTTGAGCAATATCATTCCATCGATTGTAGTCTGTAGGGGAATCCAAAACATGCAATTAGTCAAATTTGGGATTGATCTCACTGGGAACTTCACCATTCAGTAAAATGCAGGAGCATATAACTGAAAAGTTCTAAGTAAGATCAAAAGCGCTTCTTCGATTTCACGGATAGCATCCAATAACTTATTATTATTTATTTAAACGCATAAAAAAACTTGGTACAATATGGCACCAAGAAAGATGCGCCACACAATAATAATAAAACAACATAGATCAAAAAAAAGGAAGGAAGGAAAAGAAAAAATATATATAAGCAGAGAACGGATAAAGAACTTCATCTGGAAGGAAAACAGTCATGCTTAGCAAGTTCAAACAGTGTTCGTTAACTATCATCGGGAAGGGAATAAAGTAGGAAATCGCAACACATTCGCCACTGATTACGATTCTTGGCCATATCCGATAACGTTTCGAGCCATCGATTTGAGCTATCTCTCAGACCCCAACCAGGGAGTCGTGACACACCAACCGATGCTAATCTAGCACAAAAAATCCTTCATCCCACGACGCCACGTTATGGACTGACCACCTGTCCGCCTTTTCCATCCCGTCCCAGGGCTAGCGAACAGAGACCTGTACGGAAGACTCTGGGGTGACATTCGGAGCACATGTCCAAGCCACCGGAGCCGGTGTTTCCAGATGACGACATTCAATGAATGGTGATCTCCACTTTGTTCAAATACACGCCGCCGAACCTCAGAATTACTCACGCGATGATGCCATCGAACGCAAGCAATCCTGCGGAGACAGCGGTGATCGAACACGCAGAGTCGCCGCACATCCTCAGCTCGGAGAGGCCAGGTTTCACAGGCGTAGAGCAGCGCAGCCCGCACCGAAGCATTGTATACCCGACCTTTGACAGCCAGGCTAACGTCGCGACGGCGCCATAGGTGGCTCAAGTTGATGTATGCCACCCTAGCCTTCATTATACGGTTGGAAATCTCATCCGTCACCCCTCCGCCAGCACTCACACAACTACCCAGGTACACAAACTTATCAACAACTTCAAGCGGTTCACCCGCAAGAGTGAGTGCAGGTACAGGCTCCTGCCAATCTTGTAACAGTACTTTGCACTTAGACGGCGCAAAGCACATACCATACTTACAGACACTGATCGCCAACTGATTAAGTGCGATTTGGGCAGCCTGCATGCTATCGCACAGTAAGACGATATCGTCTGCATACTCGAGGTCGAAAAGTCTATCTCTAGGTAGCAGATCTACACCACCTTCACGCACATCCTTCAGAGCTGACTCCAGAATGTCATCGATGGCAAAGTTAAAGAGAAATGGAGAGACTGGGCAACCGTGTCTAACCCCACTGTTCATCCAATAACTAAATGTAACCAAGTCAATTTTAAGACATCCGTAGTTGAAGCGAAAAACCGATTGCTTCGTTTCAGTGGAGGAGATTTCAAAGCTTCGATGTACATGATAATCAAATAAATGTAGTTTTACAGACTCTAAAAAAGTTTACATATTAATCTGTGAGACCCAAAAGAACATTGATACTATCGAAAACCTCTTATTTGGCAGAGCACACAAAGTACTTGAGCTGTTTTCAAATCTTTAACCTGAAATGAGTATTTTTCAACCATTCTCTTACTTCCCTTTTATTTTTTTTAGGTTTGGTTTAGTAATCGTAGAGCTCGTTGGCGTAAACAGTTGAGTTTTAACTGTCAGAATACATCAGATTCAGTCGTTCAGTTGTCTACACCATGGCAACTTTTGACTAAGTACCAAAGACCTGAAGCATTAACATTAAAACATGAAGTACATCATCATTATGATCAAAAACAACAACAACAACCACAAGCAACTCTTCCATTATCTTTTTTGAATAATAAAAGCCATTTGAATGATCAGTTAACACAACAACAATTAAAGATGTCAGCTGATCTATTGAACAATGAACACTCTGTAAAAACTGAATGCAGTTCAGTAACAGATGTGGCAAACACAAGTAGTGAAAATCACATCACACATTCAATGGGGAATCAAATAGTCAATGATTATTGTAGTGCATTGATAAAACTATATCAGACTACTCAGTTAGTTTCTAATAAAATGAATTATCATGAAAATGATGTATTTGATGAAAATATTTGTCGGCGTCAAAATGAATTAAACGATACTAGAATGAATTATCTATCGCCTCCATTAGATGTTAAGCAAGCACGAAATAGAGCTGAGGCGGAGTCTGAACGTCTGCCGAAGACAAATGATGTTCACTTATCTGTAAGTATTTCGTGATAAATTGAATGGTATTTTATTTATGCATACTTCTGACTTCCTTTGATATTTCTGCTGTCCATTCCAAGCAAAATAATAAGTCTCATTGGCAGAAAAAGCAGCAAAAACAAAACTTCAAGTAAACATAGAGAAGACACAGGCGACAAAGAAACCCAGCCAACAACAATAACAAGCCTCAATCACCATCAGTGGGTGAAATCTGAAGGAAATCACCTCTTTCACTTATCCATGCAGCAGCGTGTTAACCACAGGCGAATGACACGAATGAGGATATCAGACACCATGGATGAAGGGATCCAGGCCAATCACGATCGGAAAAGAAAGGCAGACTTTCATCACTCTGAAATCACTTTGGAATTCCACTGCAGTCAGCACAAAGAACAAGACCCGGGTTCCCAACACTAATGTCAAGTCAGTCCTCCTGTATGGTTCAGAGTCACGAAAAGCATTTTCAGCAGCTTGCGGCAGACTGTCATGAAAAACTTCCCCTTCGCTTCATAGTGAGTATAAGATGGTTAGAAAGGATGAACAACAAAGAACTCTGGCAAAGAAGCAGACAGAACCTATCTTTCAGGAAATATGCTTAAGAAAATGGAGATTGACTGTACGCACGCTGGGGAGACCGATGAGTGACACATCGCATCAGGTCCTCGAGTAGAACTTGAATAGAAAAACACTAGTCGGGTGTGCTTTCCAGGCTGATATGGAAGAGATCGTGTAAGGAGGAGATAAAAGCTGATCACCAATTATGGAGCCAGTTAAAAATGACTTCAGAGAACAGAGTAGATGGAGATGTGTTGAGGAAGCCCTATTTTCCACTTGGAACCTCAGGGGATAGTGATATATATATAATTTCTGGCCCGAATTGACCAACTGTACTTTCACATACAAGCTCCTTGAATGAACATCCAAATATTGTCATTATTTCTAAGCTGATGTTACTTGTTTGATGACAGTTAGTACTGGAATCTAGAGCGTGGGTTTTATCCTATTTAGTCTCATTACCTAGATGTGACTGCATCCCCAATGAATGACGGTGTTCCCATTGAGACCGAAACCCATCACCTATCGTTCCAAATGTAATATCGTTAATCTACTAAGCTACTTAGCCACCTCTTTTGCAACGGATATGATTAGGAGTTATTTATCCACACAGATGACAAGTCCTAAACAGGACGAATAGCACTTCCTGGATTGCGTTGCTAGCTACCAACAAATAAGCGACTTAGTGGCTTTTTGTCTCATGTGTTGTAATGTTACATAGATAGAAGTGTAAACCTTTGATCTCTGGAGTCTGCTGATAAAAATGTATATACCAGGTTCCCACAGTAAGTATCATTTTCCGCTTAAGGACTGTGAAACAGCTCTTTATTCCTAGAAAGCTAATTTGAAGTTATTTATGTAAAATTTATTCTTCTTGCTTACTTTGTGTAAATAAGTTACAATATCCATTCCTCTTACTTAAACATCATGTTGAAATCCCAAAAATATAACTGCTATGTTAAAAATCATGGGTTTACATTGCTAAAGAAGCTTTGGACACCGAAAAATTGCTAAGGTATTTAAAAATGTACAATTATAAATGTCGTTGTGTGGGGCATTTTAACATATGAAGCATGCCATAGTATCTTACTACGTACCTTATTGGAAGTAAAACAAGCTTTTGTCGACAGATCATAGTTTTCAATGAGGTCTGAAAGAATGCCCTAACTACGATCTAAGGATAAAAACCGTAACAGTCTTTTGTTGGAGAGGTAATGTCTTGATTATGACATTTGCTTTGAAATAACGTCATTTACTGCTGAATTCCTCCAATGACAAGGAATGATTTCTGCTATGTAGTACAAGGTTACTTAACATTGGTCACTGATATGATAATTTATGTGTAAACTGTTCACTGTTATAGCTGGAAATGTTATGTTAACGAAGTCCAGAATATCTCTAAAGCCTAAATCCCTATGTTCTCTTAAATCTATTACCTCCTTCATAATGGTGCTATTGGGATAACTAGACATCATTATAACTGCACAAGTTATTTAGGTTGGTCTACAGTATTCCTATATTAAATACAATTCCGGAGGAAAAGTATCCTTAAGAACGGAAAGCCGATGATAAAAGGAAAACACAAGAAAAAAAGATCAAGACTATGTTAATTGGCTATCATGGATAGTGAGACTTTATTCTAAAATAGCAGTAAAACCTTTTCACCATAGTAGACAAAAATCAGATCAGTTGAGTAGGATTAATGATATTCAGTTGTGGAACTTTTGGATTCCAAAGAAGCTTCCACGAAGAACCCGAAAAGTAAGAAGTACACTTCAAGCATATTACACCACTGCCCGACACCCTCTAACAGTCTCTTGGTTGCTTCCTTTAAGTTCTTGTGAACAAATCTGATTGACTGGGTTAACCAAATAGGGAGGCACGAATGAGGATGTGAAAGCCAGCCAGGATCCAGAAAGCAAGGCAGGCGTTTATCAGTCTGAGACCAGTGTGGATATATACAGCACCTGGTGCAAGGAACGAGATTTGGATTTTCAACACTCATGTCAAGTCATTACTTTTATCTGCCTCAGACGCTTGGAGTGGATGTCACTAAAAGCATTTCCAACACGCTACTGAAAACCCTCATCAATAGCTACTTCCTTCACTCAATATTGAAGATCAGTTGGCTGATCGGAAATGATAACCGATTAAGAACACTGTCAGAAAGCGAACTAGCCGCCAACCTATCAGCATACAGATATAAAGAAGATAATGGAGGTGGATTGGGCATACACTGAGGAGACCATTGAGTGGAATCCGAACGAGAAGTGACAAGTTGGTCGTTTGAGGGCGACATGGTGGAGATCATGTGAACAGGAAATGAAAACCAGTTGAAAGTGGCGGCAGACAACTGAGTGCAGTTAAGATATACCACTGATGGTCTATGTTCCATTCGAAACACACAGAATGGATAATAATGACTGTATATGTCGACTAAATGTAAGAAGTGGACTACTTTTTGGACAGAATCTAATAATTTAAAAGCTAATCTATTTGTCATGTATGTAGAGTGGATAGTAAGACATTCTAGTAATATGAACTGGCTATGAGAGCTGGCTGTTAGTTAGTTTAATGTTAAAATGGATTCCAATGTAGCTACAATACAAACAGACAGGCCACTTATTGTTTATAACTCCGAATCTGGTGGACTATTTTCGTTCAGTTGTGCCATTAGTAGCCTTTCTATCATCAAACTTGCAATGGAAATAAAAGATGTGTTTGTTTAAATGCATTCTATGCCTATTTTCTTAAACCTTTTTGTAGGGTTACGCTAACAACAAGTGCTCAGATGATTTAAAACTTAGTCCAAATAGATCAATAAATTTAACTCAAACCAAAAATTCTCATCCTAATCAAAAACAGATAATTGAAGCAGAGAGTGGTAATTTATCTGAAATACCAATTCATTCCCAATCTTCCCCAATTAACCAATCAAAAGTTGATCGTATCACTGATGCAAATGAGGAAACAATTGAACCAGATTCAACAATGGATTATCAAAAATCACCATCTAATTCATCATTTATTACAACAAATTTATAAGATATTCGCCTTTTTTCATCAATATTAAACGTTAAGATTCAGCTTTCTTATTGTACAGAGAACATAATATTTATTATTTATATGCATGCATGTTTTATTGATTCATATTTATATTTTCCTGCTTATTTAACGTTTTAAACAATCTATTTATACATTGTACATAGAATATATCTTCATAATATTTCAGAAAGATGACTGTAATTGTTCATTTTTCATGAAAAATAAGTTAAACAAAATATATAAATTTAACCATTGTCTCTAAAACAGATGACAAAAAACAAATTTCTTTGTTTTATCACTGTAATAATACAGTATCATTATACTAGTAAGCAAAGTTTGACTGATTGTATGTCATTCATAATTTCAACTAGAGAAAGAAAATACAACAATTTCGACCGGAATTTTGATTCACAACTTCCAATATTCTACCGATCGAATAAACAGAAATTTGCATATGTATACATATACCATAAGATACCTATCTGAAAGGCTTTAAACTTCTCCAAAGGAATTTAACAGAAAAGTGTGTCTAGTTAAAATTGTGTGTACGCACGCGCATGTGTGTGTATATCTATAAATCTATACCAAAATTGAGCTAAACACCAAAGATACGTTAGTCTATACTGTCTTGATTTATTGAAGTGTTTATAGCTCTAACACACAAGAGCTACAGTTATTTACACACAGCGATACTAATATACAGTGAATTGAGGCCAAATAATGGAAGAAAAATGTCACGTCTTCCGTCACTGAAGGAAAGTTTGTGACAGTATTGTAAAGTGCTGTGCGCAGTGTAGCGAGTATATTAAGTTATAGCAAAACAAACTTGCCGCACTTTTGTCTCAACATAAAACGGAGGCGGTAGATTATGATTTGAATTTCCTCAGCAGGTTGTTAGTCTTATGTGATTTCATATCACTTAGTGAGAGAAATGCTGTAGTCATATCACATGTTAGTTTTATTTATTTTAAGCTGGAATACCTACTGTGGTATTTGCTATGTTATGTGCGAAAACACCTGGCGATAGCTTTTATGCTCACCCTTTTGCAGTGAACATAGTACATTTATAATATCGTGATCTGAAAATTCATTGTGATTCCCTCTGAAAATCAAACCAGTCAAACGACTATTCGGTGTTTACATCACTTCGATCTGGTTGATAAAGTCCATTTGATTAACAGGAGCAGTTCCCATCGACTCACACTAATCAGTAGCATAAAACAAACAGCCTGTTGTTTGAAGACTTTACAAAATTTTCAATTGAAATATATCAGGAAACGTGTGATGAATGTAAACGGAATAAAGTACAGTATAACTAAAAATTAATTCTATTGGTTGTAGTCTCAAAGCTGTTTTTCTTTCCTCTACGTTTCGAATGGAACACACGACTTCAAATTTTGAAGTCTCAGTTGAGGAAGTGTTGTTTTTACGAACTGGGGAAGGGTTGCTAGTCTCACACTCAACTTCCCCTTTTTTCGAGTTTACTTTAGACTAGTAAGCAAGGTATGGTTTGGGAGTGCGTCGTCCAGGAGTCGAACATGGACTCCTAGCGGGGCTGGAGAACATTCTATCATCGAATCACCAACGATGTCTTTACACGGATAATAAAATATCGAAATTCTCAAATTTTAAGTAATGCAACTAACACCTGTATGACTCAGGAAGTGAAATCTTCTTTGGGTTATATTTTCTTCAGATAAGAAGCACGTACTGATTGTGTGATTACATCACCAGTGTCAATAAAACTGTGGAATTTTATCAATGAAGACTTCAGCCATTTTTATCCTATAAGCTATTTAAATTTTTCATTTTGTTGCAATGGTAAAACGTCGGTGGTGCGTCGGTGGCACAGTGGTTAGGACTCTCGCCGACCATGCACATGGTCCGAGGTTCGATCGCCTGCCGACGAACACCTGATATCTATGGTCGGCCTGCAAAATTTGGGCTACCAATATCCATGCTGGAAATTCCATACTTGCACCAAAAATACAGTGTGGAATCAAGCTGTAATCAAAAAATAAAATAATTACATGAATCATTCTAATATCTACTTCCGTTTTGATAAATAGATACGCAACAAACTGATATTGTCCCGTTTGTTTATTATAAATGATTTTCATCATCTCTGTGTGTTTACGACTAAAAATTAGGCTTATTTGAAAGTTGACGGTCTATGCCTCTAATCAGTCATTTTGATTAAGCCATCTGATATAGGTTAAGTTTGGCAGATTGATATACATGTAATGGAGTCATTATGTTAATTTGAAACGAAAAGTTAGATAACTAAGAGGTACAAATGAGGTATCTTCAGGTTATCGACCGAGTGAGTTACAGTGGCCAAAACAAGTACTCAAGAGCGCAACCAATAGAACAGCTGTCGGTTCCACTGAAATACTCGTGTATTTTACAAGAGTGCAAAGTGAACTGTCAACGCTTTTGAAGTCATAAAACGTGTCAAAACAATTTGACTGAGTATTGGTTTTAGTAGCTTATACTTAACTGGCCAGAGCCTAGAACAACTTATTACGTCACATGTTTATAAATATTAATGTCAGTAAATTGGCTTCCAGATATAGGCGATACGTAGTTTTGAATATAAATGTCAGAAGTATGCGCGTAGGGATCATCAACACATTCATGACCATTAAATTTATTATCTATGGTCCGTGATTGTGTGGTGCAAAATAGATATTACAGTGAGATTTTTAAATAGCTAGATTACTTCTGATGAAAAAAGCTGTTCAGAAGATAACCATGAATAGGGTCCAACAATCAGTCAACCAATCCAAAGCTACGCTACATTGTTATATTACAGAAACAGGAAATTTTGTGTTTCGTCTTTGGTTGGAAACCAAGGTGTTGAATTTCGTATTCACAGATATTATAGGTGCATTATTTAGGCAGGAACCAATTCCATTCAAAAATAACTTTCATATTACACTCAGCTGCGGTAAATTTTGTACAGACTGACAGAGAAATATTTTCCTAAATGAGTAGCAAAGTGCAAAGGTACTAGCCACTTTGAATACAAACACAGACTACAAGTGCTGAGTACTAGGATCTAACTTCAGTCCAACTATGTCTTCAAGGTCTCTAAAGCATTTAACGTTGTGTTTTACAACGTTATATCAAAAAGTCATAAGTGAAGACTTGAGACACTTTACTAATAGCAAAGTTGAATTTCTAAAATACGTCAACCGAAACCAGTGGTGCTTAATCACGCGATGCATAACAAAACATTCAAAAAACAATGTCCAATTAAACAATGGAAAATATATTTGCTAAGAATATGTAAAATAAGTTTCTGTAATAGTCTAACACAGGTACATGAATTAGTTTTAAAAACATTTAGTTACAGTCAATAAAGGGTCACCAAAACAAGTTAATTTTTTAAAACAGTGACGAAATATTCAAACTGAACATGATAGATCTTAACTTCTGAAGTAACTCAATGACAAAACATTAAGAAATGGTATTTATTGGTAACAAGTTCACTAATTTAATTTGCAATTAGTTGTGTTCCCTGAGCTGGTTGGTTTAATTGCGGAGCTTTCGTCGTCCTTCTGGACAACATCTTCAGAGCAAGTGTTAGCATAAAATGAACTGATTTAAATTCTCCATGAATGACAGAATTGTATCTCCTGGTAAACATCTTCGTGACTTACAGTCGATGTACATCAGTATTGATTATTGACTTGGATTGTGAACTTTCTCGTTGTGTAATTTGCTTTTTATTAGTTGGTAAATTTGGTCTATATTAATATGATTGTTAATTGCTGATTCGCTTGAGTACCAGGCTTCTAGGAATTCTCAAGAACTTTTGGTCTTTCCTCTGTTTAAAATCTCAACATCATCCCAATCAAATCAGTGGCCATAATTATCCACATGCATTGATAACAAAGAATATATATCATGTCTTTTGATTGGACACTAGTAACTAGTGTGACGTTTCTAGTCCTTTCTTTGGTGCAGACTGAATTTTATCAATCAGGTTTGCAATGTGGCCGCCATTCTAGGTAGCTGGACATCACGGTGCACATTGATTTGATGATATTAGATGGTTGCAGATACGCCTTGCTGATGAGTGCCAACTAGCACAAAAACTAGGTCCGAGGCTTCCTGCCGATTGCCTCCAACCATCTAATATCATCAAATCAATGTGCACCGTGATGTCCAGCTACCTAGAATGGCGGCCACATTGCAAACCTGATTGATAAAATTCAGTCTGCACCAAAGAAAGGACTAGAAACGTCACACTAGTTACTAGTGTCCAATCAAAAGACATGATATATATTCTTTGTTATCAATGCATGTGGATAATTATGGCCACTGATTTGATTGGGATGATGTTGAGATTTTAAACAGAGGAAAGACCAAAAGTTCTTGAGAATTCCTAGAAGCCTGGTACTCAAGCGAATCAGCAATTAACAATCATATTAATATAGACCAAATTTACCAACTAATAAAAAGCAAATTACACAACGAGAAAGTTCACAATCCAAGTCAATAATCAATACTGATGTACATCGACTGTAAGTCACGAAGATGTTTACCAGGAGATACAATTCTTTCAGGATTTCATCATGAGCTGACATTAGTTAGAGAACCATTGGAAAACCTGGGAGTACTGGACAGCCGTTTCGTCCTAGTTTGGGACTCTTCAGCAGTACGCACCCACCGGGATTCGAACCCAGGACCTTCCGGTTACAAGGCGAGCTCGTATACCATTAAGCCACTGGGACCCGATCCAATGGTCCTTGAATTCTAACTTCTGCCAATTCACGACATAGCGCGACCGCTAGCCAATGTCTTCGGCGAGTATTTGTCCTCACACCCGACCAGCTGCACCCTACTGGTCACGACTTCCCACTGGAACCCAGGTAACTACCTACCTGAATAGGGCCAGTCGCCAGTGAGCATCTTATTGGTATTCAAGTGTTGGTTTGTAGGGATTTGATTGATTTCAGGATTTCTAACTAATGTCAGCTCATGATGAAATCCTGAAATCAATCAAATCCCTACAAACCAACACTTGAATACCAATAAGATGCTCACTGGCGACTGGCCCTATTCAGGTAGGTAGTTACCTGGGTTCCAGTGGGAAGTCGTGACCAGTAGGGTGCAGCTGGTCGGGTGTGAGGACAAATACTCGCCGAA